AGACTGGCTGGCTGGCTACAGTCCTGAGAGCCACTGGGCAGAACAGAGAGCACCATGTTCTGTGTTCAGCTATGATGAAGTGTTGAGCTTTGCATTTGTGAGTTTAACAAATAGGGGGGTAAAATATTTGCCAAGAGAATCAATGAGCCTCAACCAGACATGAAAAGATTATTGTTTACATTTTTGATCTTTCCCCCTAAGTAACACAATATAATGGTTATTCATATAGCATTTTATAATTTTCAATATTACAAGTGATCTAGATGGGCCAGTAAGATGGCTCAGTGATTAAGAGCACTCGTGTTTGCATAGGATCTGAGGTTGCTTCTTGACACCCAGGACAGATAGCACACCTGTGACCCAAGTTCCAGGGGACTTGGATGCCCTCTTTTTGTCTTTGTGCACACTGGCACACATACATATACATACCCCACACAGACACAGAGGCACACACATACACATAATTAAAAATGAATATATTTTAAAGGTTACTTAGTGATGATTTCAAGTATGCAGGAGGGTGTGTACGGATGGTTTACAAATTCTGAGCATTTCTATTAGATTCTTCATTATCTGTTCATTTCAGCACCCTGGTGGGGGAGGGACTCCTAAAAGCAATCCCCTGGGATTACTGAGGGGCAAGTGTATGTAGTTAGACAGATCTGTCAAAACTGAACGCTGCACCTTTTTTGTACGTCATCACCTTTGCCTGTTCCCCCTTTTGATTTCTAGAAGACCTTTGTGAAAGAAGTGAAGTCTGTGTGAAGATACAAATCCTTATCTTCCAAATACAATTAGCACTTGGGATTTGTCTCTCCATATTGAAAGTTTGTATAGAGGATGGATCAAGCTGGCACAGTGTCTAAATTGTGAATCCTGGTTAGGATGACTTTTCCCCTGTGAGGGTTAGGAATTGATTCTGTTGTTTTCTTCAAGATCCTTTTAGCTAGCCTATTTTTATAGTGAAATTTAATCCACTTGGAGGAGTGGGTTCAACTTAATTTTATTCCAGATGGTAAAACATATTATTTCATTAGTAAAATTTCTAACTTTTCACATCCTTACGTTTCTAAAATAAATTCTTCTTGGGCATGGTTTAATATTACTCCAATACACTTAGAATATGTAATTTTTGAGTGTGTATTTTCATATATTTATGTGCACATGCAAACATCTGTCTGAATGTATATACATATGAAAACATACTTTTATAGTTTGCTAGCATCTTACTTAAGGTTTCTGCTTGTGGTTTACGAGTGAGACCAGTCTGTACTTTTTTGTCTTTCACTACCCATTTTGAGTTTTTGGCAATGAGAACACAGAGAACTCATAAAAACGTTGTATATCCATTTCTATTCATCAGTTCTCTGAAATGGTTCTAAAACTATATGAACTTGGTGCTTTTGGGTTAGGAAACACTAGCATGCCAACCAATTTTTAATTAAATGAACTTCACAATTCTTGAGAAAATTTTGTTTGTTTTTTTCCCTAGAAAACAGAATTTTTTTCATTGAAGTGTTTTTTCTCTCCTTAAGCTTAAGATTCTAAGAAATTAAACAGTCTGTTGACTCCGTTTTCTTTGCTAACACTGTTTATTGAGAGTGTTTCCTTTTATTGTTTTTCTTCTTTTTGTCTCATTAATTTTCAGATCGCCTGAGGATTTTTGGATTCAGCATTTTAGTGGACTCAGTTTGGGGAATTTTAGGTCAAAGAGGAGGATGGAGGAGAAGAGGTACACACGGATAAAGGGATGGAGGAGAAGACGTACACACATGGATGAAGGGATGGAGGCAAACAGATGTGCTTCTGCCACCACCACAGGGTGGCATGATTCATCTTGACAGGTCAGCAAATTCTCAATAATGCCTCTGTTTTTCTCAGCTGTAAAGTACAAACAAATGTCATAGTTTCTGTTTTGTTTATTTCCATTTTTTTTTTTTTTGTAGAAATAAACATCACGTTCGTGTCATGGATCATTATGGCAATTAGATGAATGAAGACCACCCCTATCTACCTCTACCCCAATTAAAAACATTTCAAGCAGCATGGGTGGTGTGTGCAGTCAGTATAATTAATTACTTTGGTCATCTCTTCATCAGTGAAGTAACAGACCCAGGCTTGAAGGAAACACCAAAACACTAGAACATGGCTGTCATAGACTTAACCATACATGATACCCACCCCGCCCCGCCCCACCCCACCTGACCCTATCCTACCCCACCCCACCAACCTTACCACCTGGCAATCTGTCTCATGTTGCCTGCTTTCCCAGCTCCACAAGTAAATGGTAAATTGCCATGGCATGAAGTTGGATGACTTGAATATGGCTGCATATAGCATGTCACAGACTTTCTGAAAAGTGAGTTCATTCTTCTCATAGATTTAACCAAAAAGGTCGGGCTGGATTTCAGGATGATGTAATTGTAGGCATCCCTTAGTGTTTGCTCAATAATTGATTTACTCATTCAGTGAGAATTTCATTCCTGTGGTGTGTAAATCCAGAATGAAATAGAGCATCACCATTTATTATTATTATTGCCAAGAAGAGGCACAATGTTACTTGCTTCACAGTATTAGTAATGTGAAGATATGGAATATCTGAAGTTGAATCTAGCCAAACACACAAATTGGTCAGCTGGATCTTCTAGATTTGTATTATCCTATTTTCTGTCTAGCTACATGTGACTACTCAAACTTAATGTCTAAAACTAGATAAGATTCAGGAATCAGTTACTTTGTCAAACAGGGCACATTTTAGGAGCTCCGTGGTCATGAGATATGATACTGGAAAATCTTCCAGAACATTTCTACCACCACAGGAAGTTGTACTGGACAGTTGCATCCTACAGCAAGCCAGCAACAATGAATGTGGTAGAGATTCTGAGAACCAGCCTGATTGACCTATACATGAGGTGGCTGGCTGAATGCCTGTGGTTTTGACCTATACACAAGGCAGCTGGCTGAATGCCTATGGTTCTGGAAAACATGATTAAAAATAGTCCACTATTTCAACAAATGCTTCACAATGTTACTTCTGGTAACTTGCCCAGAGGTCCTCAAATTCAGGAATTCTGAATCCATGAACCACAAATTAATGCAATTTACTTTTATTTTGTAGATCACTCTCCTTTCTTTAACCCTACTCCTGACCACTGGTCATTTCCCACTCTTTCTCTCTCTGCCATTTATACTTACTGTAAATAATCACTTAGTTCCTGGTCGCTATCAGCTGTAAAACATTTGTTCTCTTTGGCCACTTTCCTGGAATGCATCATTAGGCATTTTCATTGCTTTTGTGGCCTGAGTGAATCTTTACCAAAAGTATTGTCCCATTCTGACAATATTTGCCAACCAAGCCTGGTTAAAAATAGATAACTTATCATGAAGTTTCCTGTTGTGTATGAATCAGGGACTCTGATCTACAAAGGTCGAGTGTGTCACTGAGAGAAAGATGTTCTTTTGATGTAGCCAACCAAGTCACATTGCATGATGAAATAAATGCAAATGTCTCAGAACGAGGGTCAGAAAACCATGGGGCTGGGGGTTATTTCCATTAGAAAAAGGCTAGCACCCAGCAAGGACAGGATGAGGTCACAGCCATGTTGCCACAACTCTCGCTGGCCCCATAGTCCATTGGAGATTTTATTCTAATGAGAAACAGGATCCTAAGTTTTGTTTTGCTTTTTTTTTGGTTATTTTTATTTGCTTGCTTTTACCTAAAGATCTGTTTTCCCCATCCTTCCAGAGCTATGATAGTGTGCTTGTTTGTTCTCTCCTGTCTACTCAAAGCCCATCCTGATGACATGAGGTGGTCTTAAGCCTAACATGTCACCAAAGTCCTCCCTAACCCCATCCCTGTCCCCCTGCCTCATCTCTGAGACTCCTTATGAAAGGAATCCATAATGGTGCTTCGTAAATGCCTCATTTCAACTGACTTAAACTGGAGCAGGGCCGGGGGGCAAGCCCACAGGCTTCACAGGAGAGATATGGCATCGTTATCTATCATCTCCACCCAATGAATACAAAAGATACAGCCCTCAGAATCTGTTCTCCTACCTTTTCAACCCTTGTGCTCTTTCTCCCAAGGCCCTCTGAGATGTCACCGTCCAGTCTACCACCCCAGGCAAAACGGTCACCGCCTCTGTGTTAGGCTGTGCTCAACTGCCTTCACACTGCAATTCTTTGGAGAATGACTTCAGTGGGGACAAATGCAAACCTGTGACCTCCCTGCTTAAAACCTCTCTTTTTGGTCAGGATAGGCTTGGCCTGTCCTACTTAGATGATTCTTGCCATACTTAAACCTCACCTAACCGCATTCCCTCCATGTTGTTATCATGCCTTGTAAGTTATTATCCCCAGACCCCCTTCAATTCCTATAAGCTCATTTCTGCCTTGGGGCTTTCGCACATGTGGTCCCTGGTGCTTGAATTACTCCTTCCCAGTTCCCTCTCACTCAGTTAACTCATGCTTATCCTGTGTGAAGTTTCAGTGAGGACTTCCTTTTCACAATAGTCATTTTAAATTCTTCTCCACCAGATTGAAGCCACCTTGGGCTTTTGCTGTTATAAGGGTGACTGACTGACTCTTTCCAGTGAGACTTGCAGGCTCCATAGACAGTATTTCTCTTTTACTTTCCATTGTATACCCGGTTCTGACCAACAAGAAGCCTGGATATAGAGGTTATCAAGACACATTTGTTGAGTAAATCAACAAACAGTAGCCTGCCAACATAGGTATGAACAGATTTTTAGGGTCCCCCAACTTCAAATCTCAACTCTGCCATTTGTAAATCAGGTCGTCTCGGACAAGTGAAGAAGACCTCTATAAATTATAGTTTTCTCATTAGTAAATCAGCCATAACCATATGTACATGAAGCTTCCAGAAGGTTCCTAATGAGACACACTCATTATTATTACCATATCTGATTTAGAGACTAGAGACAGGGAATCTGCTGAGGCCACAAAGCTCCACAGAAACAAGCGACAGACACCCCAAAGGAAACAGATAGTAACATTTTTTATTAAATATTACAGTGGATCAAAAAGTACAAAATATCTCTTGCCTGCTATGTGATTGGGAAACTATTGGCACAGAATACAGTATCAAAAGCAGTAATAAGTACAATTTGGAAAACATACAAAATTGAGTGTTTATAGTTGGCTCAGCATTCTTCTGGTAGTGTTTAAACTAACGCAAAGGTTACTCAATAACCTCTCCATTGGGAAATTATATAACATCACTGGGCCAGGTTGTTATATACAAATGATCACCTTACAGAGCATAGAGGTTACATAAGCTGGAGTCACCAAGTGTACAATATTTACAACACAGGGAAGTTTAAAAAAGTATAAACAGCCAAGAGATTATGCTGCTATTTTTTTTTTTCAGAGATCTTTCTGCCATGGGGAGACAAGCAGAATATCAAATATGTCAACAGCCAACACTGGAGCTGAGGTGCTCAAAGTCACTTCTCCAGGGGTGTGGGTCTCACCAGGGCAAAATCATTCCCGTTACTCTCTCATCTGGGAAAATGAGTCAAACTAGACCACATGGGACTTGGCTGACCACCACCAAATGTGACTTAGTGGGACAAGAAGTGAAGAGAAATAATGGTTCTCTTTGAAGGCACACTACATAAAATATATTTGTGGGACCACCTTGACATTTGCATCAGACACACCAACACAGGGAAATACAGTACTTGAGGATTCATGCACCAGGCTGCAAAGCTGTGACGTCAACACAGAGTCTTGACAAACCCTTCAACATATGCCCTGATGAACAAGTGAAATCCAGAGCTTCTAGCTAGGAAATAAATCAGTCCTGTGGCAAATACTACACATTTGAATCACTTACTAGGAAAAATACTTTAAACTTAAGCTTAGTTGGGCCATCTTGGTAGTTTATTTTTACTTTACATTTTATTTTTAAGTTAAATTTGCCAAGAGTAAGGCCAGAACTTGCATGGAGAGGATATATTTTTAAGTATCATTTAGAATCTACGAACCTCCAATAATTCAAGGGCTTAGTGCATTTTGAATTTCAACATTTCTCGGAAGCCACACTTGGTAAATGGATTTATGACTCTGGTGCCAATTGGATTCCACAGTTTCCTTTACAGAACTACCAATAACAATGGTTTGACTGCACAAAGAAAGGCTTGTGCGATGCCATTCAATAATAAGGCCCCTTGAACTCAAACAATGCAAACAAAGCCTGACTTAAGACTTTTTAAAACATCCTTCTCAGCCAATGAAAAATTCAACGGTCTTTTTGAAAGATTCCCAAGTTCTCCGTTTGGAGTTTTAAAATAAATAACATGCCGCTTCTGTTCTTTGCATTTGCCTGATGTTGTGCTGAGGGTCTGAGCTTCCTTCAACAGAAACAGTGAGTCTCCTCTCCGAAGAAATGAGAAAAACAATAGCTGGACTATGTTGACATTGTTTGAAAATGGTGTGATCGAATTCCTACATGATGAACACATCTCAACTCACCACACTGAGGAAAACAATCGCCCCATTTGCAAATGGTTAAGCTCTTAGGGTGTGTGTGTGTGTGTGTGTGTGTGAGACACAGACATCCCCATTTTCTTCACAAAACAAGTTCACAGGAACCACATATGGATCCAGCCCATGTCTGCTGCAGAATCCCTTTTCTCCTCTTCTGATTCTGTGACCATTCAATCTAGTGCAACTTTCTCGTACTGTGTCCTGGCCAGCATCATGCTGGCTGAAATTGAGACCCACCCCTGCCACACACACACACACCCTTTCTTGTGCAACAGCAGAATAATCTGCATGTACACATTTATGATCTAAGTTATACTAGTCTATCTATGGTCCTATTAAATATATAATATATATATATTATTCCACAGGAAGGTAAATAATTAATTGAAGCGAATGGAACTCTTAACACTGGGTCGCTACATTCTTTTGTTTCCACCTTTGGATAGCATGTTACTACATGGACTATTTGGCTTCATATCATGAGGACATTTCAATACAAATGAGTGGCATGCATGGCTTTGCATAAGGACCGGCATTTCACGGTCACTGGTTTTGATTATTTTTGTAGTTGAGTTACCTATTCAGAGATGTTGAAAACTGTCATCAAGTTTCATAGACTTAAATATGTCAGAGGTAAAAATCAAAGGACTTGGTTAACTGTGGTAATAGAGTCTACTGGTAGTGTTGGGGGAGAGGAGGGCAGTGGGCTGGGGAACTTCTCAAAGCAGCGTATGACAGGGTTGGGTGGAGTCAGGAAAGAGAATCCACTCTACAGATCCACTTGCTGCACTTAGAAAATGTGGTGCCTTGGGAGCAAATGGAATATGGAATCAAGTGTCAAGAGTGACAGTCAAAAAAAAAAAAAAAAAAAAAAAAAAAACCAAACAAACAAAAAAACCACCCAAAGTGGATAGTATGGCCACATGATGAAAAACTTGATATAAACCACCTTACACGTACACATCCTCATCAAACCCACCCTTAGGGAACCCAAGGAGGATGGCTTTCTCTTGAAACAGAGCATCCCATTACTCCTTAAAGGTACTACCACCTTGGGGAGAATCTTGCTAGGAAACTCAAGAAGCCAGCTGATGGTGACAATAACTCTGTCACTCAATGGGCCAAGGCCTGGCTGGGACGTTCAGCGGTCAGACCTTGAGTAGCTTTCCCTCTGCTGGACAGTCACACACCATCCTTTCCCCTTTTCCAGACCACTGAAAAGGTGCAGTTCCAACACCAGCATGAGTCACCCTGGCTCTTGTCTTAAGTTCTAAGAGTCCTAAAACATCTGCACAGCCCACAGATGTGTCCTCTGGACTGTCATCCAGTGGCTTTTTGCCAACAAGGTTTTTGTTTTATGATTTCTCTGGTATGTAGGACAGGTTCACAGCCTAGATAAGGTGAGTACAATGCCTAATATTTTCACATAATCCAATACTTCAAAGCAAAGCAATTGGCTGGAGAGGCAGTGTCTAAGGTCTCTCAACTATGCCACTTAAGAGGAACGGAACCCTCCAGGTGCAGACCCGCAAAGGCACAGGCTTTCTGTTAGCTCATGTTCTCCACGGGTTTTTTTTTTTTTTTTTTCAGTCTGTTCCACTAAAATCAGTTGCTTCAATTTGTAAACAATAACTTGACCACCCAAAGCTGCTCAAAAGAAGATGGGGCTGGGGATTGATAAAATACACATCAACAACTAGGAGAGTCAGTCAGCCTTGCAAACAGAACAAAACAAAACAAAAAAAATCAAAACAAAAACAGAAGACCTGCAAATAGAAGGGATACTGTTTAATTAAAAAAACAAACAAACAAACAAACAGATAAACAACCCCCCCCAAAAAAAAATACCGCAGGGCAGGAACAAGAAAGAACCAGGAGAAAACAACTATCTGTATATAAATTAGGTGAGTGAACAGTGATACGGGTAGCTTTAAGAAGCGAATATATACAGTTTAACAGTGTTTTCTTCTCTGGATTGTTTAATAGTGTCAAGAATGAAAGGTCTCTTTAAGTTTTACTATACATTGCATTGATTGAACTTGGTGAGTTTTATGAAAAAGAGGGGCATCCCCTGGCTATCACTTCGCCAGTCTTTCTCACCCTATCCTTTGAAAATCCTGCCCCCCACTGTTTTGTCCAGATAGCTTTCCTACCATCCAACCTCAGAGGGTTTCTCTGAGTTCTTCTGGGATAGACACAGATACCCTTCACAAAAACCAATATGAAAAGGAAATGACCTGGAGGCCCTAGGCCATCTGTGTTGGAAGGGAGGTCGCAACTGGTCAGCCAGGTTAAGGGTTGTCCCCGAAAAGGTAGTCATGTTCACCTGGCCTTTAGGCCTCTATGGCTGGGACGAACTGTACCACCAGATTAGAAGGAATACTGACTTCAACTCTGCAAGCCAGCCTTCCAGAGTTGGTGCTTTGACCCCCACCATTTGGGGATTCTGGGCACTGCGAGGCTTACAGTTTTGTGCTGGGGTGTACAGATGACAGCTGAGACGGTGGGAAGGCAGCCTGAGGGTTGATAGCAGCTAAAGGATAGATGCTATTGTGCAACAGGTCCCCGTAGGAACTTCCTACTGGGGTCGCTGCGGCCAAGTGTCTGTAGAGCTGCTGAGAATTCGTCGGCGATGTAAAAATACCTCGTTGCATCACAAGCGAGTGGAAAGCCAAGGGCTGCATGAGAGGAGAAAGCACCGTCTGGTTCTTCAAGTACTGCAGAGAGTGGGAGTACCCGGCCGGGAGCCTGGAGTTGAGGCCTGAGTTACACAGGCTACCAGAATACAAACCGGGGAAGATAGGAGAGGAGACAGGAAGCTTGTGGCCTTCCGATGCAGCCCCAGAATGCCCTCCGTAGGCTCCTTTGCTTCCCTCGCTCTCCTGTTCAGAGGCCTTTTCTTTCCCAGAAGCCTCCTTGGCTGGGTCCAAGGGAGACACAGCCCTGGCTTTTTTCCCAGCGATCACAAGATCTAAGTCCTCCAGGCTGCGCTTTATGGGGCGAGCAGCTCCAATGTTCTGAGGGCTCATCTTCCTGTGTAGGATGGGATGGACCATGCCTTCCATTTTTCTGAAATTCTCCAGTCTCACATGGTGAGGTTTTCCCGACTTTGCAAGCGGCTCGGGGTATTTTTTAGGAGCCGACATGGTCATGGGCGATACCCGGCAGGCTTTGGGGTGACAGTCTCGACTCTGGCTGCTAATGACCTGGAACTGGGAGGCGGCGCCTTTGATCTCCTGGGACCCTGAGGCTGAGTGGGCCAGGCCCAGGACTTTGCTGGTTAGTTTCTGTGGGTTCTTGGGAAGGCTCAGGTCTGTTGGTTGATCATCTCTAGAGGCTTCCGCTGCAGCCAATTTCTTATCTTGCAGATGAAGAGAGGTGAGATAATTGACATGGACTTTCTCTGGGTGTTTGTGAGAAAGAAAAGCGCTGTTTTCAGATTCCTGGTACATGTCCCTAGAGGCATACTTGGACGACTGTTCATTATGAAGGTGGTGTTCTGTGTGGCGGTAGAGGCTGTGGAGATGCGGGGATGAGTAAAAGTCGGCCAGGAAACTGGGCACATGAGCATGGGAGACTGCTCTTTTCTCTAATAGTTTGTCCTTGCCCTCCTGTACCTCTTGTTTTAGGATATACGAGTCGGTCAGGGTGCTGAGCTGGTGTTTGGAGAAACCGCAGCGGTGAGCATCAGATCGACTCAGTTTGTCGTGCTTGAAGATGTCATTGATGCTCTTTCTCTCCTCGGAGGCCTTGCTTTTGAAACTCTGGACATGTTGGATTACCGATGGCCGGCTGACGGCCATGTGATCAGAGCTTTGGCTGTGATGGGCCTGGGACAAACCAGAGCACAGTTCGTCCCTGGCGATCAGTTTCTTTTTGCTGATCAAAGGCGGTGGGGAGCCATATGGGTAGCTGCTGGAGAGGCTTGCCCCACTCACCTGAGACAAAAGCTTTTTCTTGGCCAACGGGGACATGATACCAGGGTTGCCCCTCGAGTAAAGCAGGGGTGTGTAATTAAGTCCGTGGTTCTCGTTCATGGGCCCAGTCAAGTCTTTGTCTTTGAACATGTCAAATGATTGGACCACAAGGACCTTCGGGGTCTGTTTGAGGGCAGTATGGATGTCGTCACTGCCTAGCTGGTCCACCTTCACAGTGCAGTTGGCAATGTAATTAGCCATGGCAGGAAGCTTGTCTTCCTCTGCCTCGTTCTGGCTTGCCAGTGGTGTCTGGGTGGCGGGGATGCTGGAGAAGGGTGCTTCTTGGAGGTCACTTTCAGGGCTCTCTGTAAAGCAGCAGGGTTTGGCTTCTTGCTTTGAGTCCATCTGGGCACTGGGAGAGGCAAGGGGCTGTTTGCCAGCCCCAGGGGTAGGAGCTGAATCTCTTTCAGGAGGCAGGGGAGGGCTTGGGAGCATAGGGGCAGGGCCCTTGTCTCCCATTTCCTCAGCCTCCTTCTCACAGCTGGAACCTTGATCAGTTTCACTGCCCTTTTCTGGGTCTGCTCTGGACACTGGGGTCCTCACCGGAAGGTCTTTGAACCCTTCCAGTTTCTTCTTTACTTCTGGAGCAGGGAGAGGCTCTGTGATGCTTTTCTGGCTTAATGTCTCTTCTTCCTTCCCTTGCTCGGACGAGACCTGCACAAACATTGCAGGAGATACTTAGAGGAGAATCAGGTACATTGACACACTTGGTTAGTAAACAAAGCATCACACAGAGCAAGCTTGTCAATCAGCTCACCCAGTTTTCACAAGGCTTTATTACCCCCCTCCCCCATCACAGCTCTAAACAAAGAAATCCAAACTACAGAAACATTCGGGGAAATAAGCATACTAGCTCCAGCCCCTCATGAGACACCTATCAAAACAGAGCAATGTAGCAGTGATCGGCACACTCACGTCATTCCTTCATTCTGATTTCTGATATATAGCTTAATTCTAAGGTTGTCTTCTTATCAAACCAGTCAATTATCAAAATAGGCTTTAAATTACACGTTGCATCTTATGACACTTCTCTGAATTTTTTTTTAAAGCATCTCTCGCTCAAACAATTGAACCAACCCCATGTCAGTAACAAACAATAAACTTAACTCATGGCCTTTCCTTGAGAACTGTCCCTTCCTAAGGAATTCAGTGGGAACCACTGGAAACCAGCTATGCTTACATGTAAATCATGCCTTGGACCTACACAATGTGTAGGTCTTGTTAAACTAGCAAAAACATATGCAGATGGAGTGTGTGCACCCAGGGATAGGGAATATCCTAAATCCTCCTAGGCACACAGAACTCACTGCTTGAATGTGGTTCAGATGGGCAGTGTCATCCCCAGTACAGCTTTTCTATTTATTGAAAGAAATTGTTCTTAAGAGGATGGATGCTTCCTGTTTGTTGTAGCTATAGGCACAATTCAACCCATTTACTACAGAGTCATATAAGCTTTAACTTTAATGGTGAATTTAACATTTCATCTGTGATAGAGCCGATGGACAAGCCTTTCCATATTCCTTGGTGGGACAGTCAAAAAACATTTGAATTGAGATGGTCCTCGATCCCTTGACCCAATCACATCACCAGAACATTTTTCTACAGTGAAGAAACTACCAATTGCATCATATCTTTAAGGATGACTAAAGATGTTGGAGGATATTTAGGAAAAATACTTTCAAGGACTCATACCCCAAAAGTGAATATTTTCCCTTAAATCTACATGAAGGTATCCTTGCTTACCAGGCATGTGTGATACCCAAGAGACTACCCCTCTTTGTGCACTAATAACTGTATTTTAAGTGAAAATATCCTTGTCAATTCTACACTACTAATCGTCACTTGTCTCTAGAGCTGATACATTACATTAAAAGACATAAAATTGAATGACTGCAAGAGGCAAGTTGAGCTCAAAATTCTTCAAAGTTTCTGTGACCTTGGCCTTCAGCAACATTGAAGTCTGTCCACAAACCCGGGTTAGGGATGTTTCAAAGTTAGGCCAATGAAAGTAAAAGCTTTTGTTTCTTAACTTCCTGAATCTGTTCAAGGATAATGTCTCACTCTGTACTTTAAAATCCCTGAGGATAGTGAATTTGACTAGACCCCTCCTCCCTCTACTCAGTTTAGTGCTTCAGATTGAAAGCATCAAAAACTACGATATGGCATTAAATGCAAACCCAGAATGTGGCTCACAGACATGCTGAATTCAGAACCTTGGTAGCCGATGGGGATGGGCCTGGCTCTTACTGAACAGATCATTTCAAAGGGGTTGAGATATCAGGACTTCATCAGACAGGTTAAAAGCTCCAGATGCCCAGAGCCCACTTCCGGTAAGTGAATTGTTGGCAATAATAGAATGATTTCCTTTGGAGAACAGGGAGAACCCTCAGCTGTCAGAGGGTTGCTGGATTCCTTGTAGCAAGGCTGCACTTTTGAGGATGGTCACCTCCCAAGCTAATGTGCTCCATGGATAGACTAAGGAGCCTTCTCACAGTCCACAAAGTCACTGTTTCAAATGTTCCCCGCTCTGATGGAGCCATTCAAAGGTCAGTTGGCCCCATGATCCTCTAAGCATCTGCTGGTCCTTTGGCTGTGTTGTGCATCTGGTGTCTAACAGAACTGACCAATCCAAAGCCCTGTGATAAATCACCAAGCCAGAAGGATCAAGAAGGAATGGAATGTAACCCTTAACTTGGAATTTCCTTGCTTTGGGCCATTTATGTTGCAAACTTGCAAATGTTTAGAAGTCTTCAGCATCTTGTATTTTCTTCCTTTTGAAGTTACTAGAGCTTAAAGTAATTATAAAACTTGATAAATCCAGGCCTGGCTCAGACTGGGACAGTAGGATTGTGAGTTCAAGCCCTGCCTGGGCTATAGTATGAGTTCAAGGCCAGCTTCAGCAACTTATAAAGACCCTGTCTCTAAACAAAAATCTAACAAATATGACAAGACAATTCACTAGTGTGTGTAAAACCTGAGGTTTTAGGTTCTGTCTCCAGTGACACCAAGTATTAAAATTTTATTTTTAAGGAAGGTACAGCTGGGAGTTGGTGTGTGTGTGTGTGTGTGTGTGTGTGTGTGTGTGTGTGTGTGTGTAAGAGAAGAGAGAGGGGGGAGAGAGAGAGAGAGAGAGAGAGAGAGAGAGAGAGAGAGAGAGAGAGAGAGAGAGGAGTCTGTGTTTTAAACTGGTAGTTAATGAAGCTGTGTTTTATGTGTTCATTATAAGCCTGATTTTTAGAGAGTGTTTAATATCAGTAACCAATTCCCTTAGGGGTTGAATCCTAGAACATGCTGTCTCTGAATGTAACTGCATTTTTTTTTTCTTCTAATGGGCAGCAGGATTTTTTATTATTCATGTTGAAACAGAGCCCGGTTCAGCCTCCTTGGTTGGCTGAATGCTACCAGTCACGCTTCTTGCTGAGGAGCTTCTAACACCTTTAAGGCTTTTGGTTTGAAAGGTTCAAAAGCCACCTCTTACATGAGAGGAAGTAATGGTTTCTGTGGAATCACTTCAACATTTCTCCATGAACAACACAGACTAAAGATCTTGCTAAATTGGATTCAACTCAAGGGTAGAATAGAGGTAAAAAAATGAGAAGCAAATATCCCTAAAATTTGGGAGAGGGACCTGAGGAGACACTCAGGGATTTCACTGGTCCTCCTTCCCTGATATCTGCTCCCCATCCCTCCCCCATGTCACACTGAGTCCTTAAATAATATGATTGTGGAACCCCGCCCCCCAGAAGTTAGTTTATTCAGGGGAACTGTGAGTTTCAGGAGGTTTTAGTTTGGTTTCCAATTGTGAGCCTTTGCTCTCAATTTCCTTCAGGGTATTCTCATCTTACTAGCTTCTTCTAGATTCTAGTCATAGCCTATGTCACTATTTATCACACATTGCATCATTATATCTAAGCTCCCAAGGGAAAGAAAGCTTTAGGGCTCTAAAAAGATTTATTTTAATTAATTAATTAATTAATTAATTAATGCTATTAATTGTGTGTGTGTGTGTGTGTGTGTGTGAGAGAGAGAGAGAGAGAGAGAGAGAGAGAGAGAGAGAGAGAGAGAGAGAGGGAGGGAGTGTCATGTGTGTGCAAATGCTTTCAGAAGCCAGAAGAGGGCATTGGATTTCATGGAACTGTCTTCCAAGATGGGTGCTGAGAACCAAACTTAAAATCCTCTGGAAGAGCAACCAATGTTCCTAAGCACTGAGCTATCTCTCCATAAGTGAGGGGTTTTGAAAGCTACTGTTTGAGAATTTGTTTGTTTTATGTACATATGTGCAGGCCACTGGACAACTTTGCTTTCCTATCACCTCAAGCTCAAACTCATGTCACCAAGCTTGGCTGCAAGTACCTTTACTCATTGAGCCCTCTTACCAGCCCAGAGGCTTAGAGTTTGTGACTTCTCAGACTAGCCATGAGGTATTCAGAGACCCAGCTGGAGATTCTGGGGTCAGGAAGCCCTGAAGGCAGAGTGTGTTTCCCAGAGCTGGTATCTGTTGCAGACACACTCACCTCGGATGTATCCTGGGGCTTTGGTGTATTCTCTTTTTCTTTCTTATTTTTGGACAGTTCATGTTTGATGCGTTTGGTTCCTGATACTTTTGTTTTATTCTCATTTTCCTGTGAATTGTTTTCCTGTTTCCGAGGTTTGATTGGCGGCAAAGGCTTATCTTCTTCTCCCTTGATAAACCTTTCATACGGTAGGATTAACCTAAAAGGAAAGCAGAAGGGATAGCACATCAGTTGACCAATCCTAATGACATCATCAGTCTGGCTCTTGTTTCCTCTTCCTATAGTAGCCCTGCCCTCCATCTATAGGGTTGTATTCTAAGACTCTTCATGGATGTTGAAACTCATGAGTACCTAGGGCTCTCTGTATTCTATACTTTTCTTATGCTTAATACTTAATAAAGTTTAACTTACAAATTAGGCAGAGTAAGAGATTAGTAGCTGTAACTAATAAAATAGAACAATTATAACAACATACTGCAACAAAAGTTACATAAATGTAACTCTTTCCAGCAAGTCAAGACTAATACTGTTTTCCAACTATGGCTGGCCATAGGTAGCTGAAAGCAAGCAAAGCAAAACTGTGCATAAGCATTTTGTTGAGTGGCTTCATTACCGTGACACATACTCTTCCTAGAGACTCACTCTACATAATCTACTTTATTAGTAAAACTTGGTTATCTGGTCACCTATATGTTCTCTGAAAGACTTCTCTCCTTTTGACTTTGTGATCTGAAATACCAAGGACACCAAAGGAAGTAGCCAAGGTTGACACTGTCACAATGACCCATAGCTCTTAGCTGACTGACAATGATATAAGAACAATAATAACAGCTGCTGCCCGTTTACTATTCTGTCAAATGTACATTGAGTAACCCACCCTATGCCAGGCACTGCTCCAGATTCAAAATAGAGCCATGAACGAAACATTCATAGCCTCTGACCTCATCCAGCTTCTATTCTAAGACGGGCTAGGTGCAAGAAGTAAATCATTCCATTTAATCCCCACCACATCTCTTCATATCATCATCATCATCCCAAGATCAAGCAAAGAGCCCAAGGATCACAGAATCTATTGGACCTGGATCTTGACTATCCTTGCCATTTGTGTTCACCTTAAAAATGTAGATCTGACATGAAAATTTGAAAAGAATTGCTATCATGAAACCCAACCCTAGGTACAATGAACATACACTACCGAAAAAGGATGTATTTATGTATATAATACAAGTATAACACTGATTTGACACTCCCCTCCCCCACACATTGAAGACCAGAACTTGAGATAAAAGGACAAGAGGATACATGCCCAGTTTTGCCAAGACAGATGTTGTATCCTCTTGTCCTGAAGATCATCAGAAGGTCTGTTTTGTTGTTATTGTTTTTTGTTTGTTTTGTTTTGGTGGGGGTTAGGGGGTGGGTACCAAGTTAGAAAGGGCCCCAGCAAGGAGGAAGTCAACTAACCACAAAAGCAACAAAAATCAGAAGAAAAATCCAAGCGTTTTAATTACATAACTTTTCCCAACAAAGTGTATAAAATTGCTCTAAAAAGAGAAACATCAAACAGCTCTGGTTTTAATCTGCTCCCTTTGGGACACAGCTCTCCATCTGAACAGGGAAAGAGCTGATGTAATTAAAAGGCACGGATTGCATTACAATCTGAGTTTCGACTTCAGTGATTAAAGTTTTTCTAATGCATTTGGTATGATTAATGACTCACTGCGGGATTAATATAAGACTCAGCCTTAAAAATATGAACCTTAATACAGCAAACATCATTTGTTTTAAATACAGCAAGTTGACTCAATGAAGAAAATGTACTTGGCTGACAAAAAACAATCTGTTCAAATATTGGGAATCCTTTATTTTTAAACTAAGACACCTAGGCCAAAAAAAAAAAAAAAAAAAAAAAAAAAAAAAGGAAAAGAAAGAAAAAATTCTGGTTTGGAATATGTGTTGAGTATCTTAAAATTGGTTTGTGGTTGTATAATTTGTCTACTAGCTACTTAAATATACATATACCATTGTTCCAGGTTTCATAGTAAAGACATGGGAATATTTGAGACATTGTTAGTCCATTCTTTAACAACAAAGCAAACTGTGGAAAAGTCAAATGCCAATTTATGGTATTTTAGGATCCAAATCCATTCATTGAGCATGCTCAGACAAGGTATGTGCAAGGAGGCATGGATAATACTTTCGAGGCCTCTGTCTGGCAGTGGGCCAGACACGAAGATCAACACAGCCCATGGGGGATAGTTATCTTCAGATCCCATTACAGCCCGAGTTTAAACATGTTACAGCTGCTAAAACTGGAAACTGCTCTCTTCATGTAGACTTTACTAAAATAATGTATGGTTGCCAAATACCTGCTTCCCACCATAATATTACAGTGCATGTTTATATAAGGAAAAGCATAACTATGCAGAAGAGAGAAAAAGGTAGTCTTGTTCATACTTGAATTTATTCTGTCTCATCTTTAAAATCCCCATCTTATTCCCTCCAGTTCCTCTGTCCTCTGCATTCTTCTGCCAGGGACTTATTTCCTTTTCCACTATCAGAAAGTAAGAGGGTTTTTTTTTTTTTTTTTTTTCCAACCAGGAGCAAAATGCATTGAATATTTTAAACTGGAAAAAAATACTTTAAATTGATTTTAATGAAAACACATTTTATTGTCGGGACAGATAGGTTTGTTGTGCTTTTGTTTTGTTGCCATGGAAACCAAAGGAGCTCAGAAGCCCTGGTATTCCAACGGTTGCCATTTGTGATACCTCCCTTCCCCCAGTTCCCTGGTCTAATGAAGATAGTGACATCATAAGGGGCCCTCTTTCTGGAGAATGACATGACTGAGTGTGAGGAGAAGAAAGGAAAGCAGAGAACAAGGTGGGGGACATACCGAGGTACCCTAAGAAGACCCTCACTGTGGGTACTGACAGTCTTAAGCTAACCCAGATCTTTAGCACACACCCAGGAGGAATATGATTTTGTCTTATAGTTTTTCAAGTTCATGAGGCTGAGCAATATTTTCATATTCTCTGTCTCTCCTCTCTCTCATCTTTTCTCATTTTGACTCAACAGCTGGCAAGCCTTCAACAGCACAAAATATATTTTCACTTTGCTGGTCAAAGGCCTGAAGCCAGAAGGCAGGAAATCTGGAATTAAATATTTCTTGTATCTGGAAAGAGGCATGACTAAGGGTAAAACTGAATCCAAACACAAGCTCTGCTTGTTCAAAGCTTCCAGAGGATGTGTGTGTGTGTGAGAGAGAGGGGGGGGGAGAGAGAGACAGAGAGAGAGAGAGAGAGAGAGGGAGGGAGAGAGAGAGAGGAGAGGTCAACCAAATGTGTGTTCTTTTTTCCATGTCTAAATCATTGAAAGATAATTATAGCTGCTCAAAGGGAGAAAAAAGCTCCTAGAATAAAACAACAGAGGCATCAGCAGTAGGAATATGAGCTCTGAAGAATAGGACACATTCCCACAGAATACATAAACAAGCCCTGTTTCATACAGTGACTTCCGCTCGTGCTGATTTCCTTGAGTGTTTTTGTTAAGTTCTTCTGTCATGGTGCAGCACAATTACCCCACAGGATGTGATCTTATCAACCAATTATTAGAAGTTCTTCTTTTACAACACAAGAAGCCAAAAGCTATGACAGGTTTCTGAACATTTCAATGTTCAACACACACATGTTATCATTAAAAACAGGTTAGCCACTACGAGATTAACATTGCCCAATACAGGAAGCTGTGCAGGTTTGTATCAGGCAAAAGAATGCAGTGTAATGTGGTGTACCAATGACTCTTGGAGGATGGGTTCTCAAATATTTGTAGGGCCGCAAAGATTTAATTTATTTCAAAACTGTACAGATAAAAAGCAAACATATATCCCCCCCAGCACATGCAAAAAAAAAAATGTATCCATTACACAGAAGAAATATTTCCATTGTATTATAACTCAAAGAATGTAGGCTGAGTCTTGGGTGGATGAAGGAAGACATACACTGATTAGTAAATCCATACAGACCTCCCCCCACCCCCCCGCCTCATCTCCATCTAGGTTAGAGATTGAAAGCTTGGGAGATAAATGGGCCTTTCTTCTTGTCCAGATTTCCTATTTCTGATTAGCAAAATGCTTATTTATGATGCCTTTAATGGATGTGAACTAGGTAAGCCATCACAAATTATATATATATATATATATATATATATATATATATCAGCTTTTCCTAGGCATAAGATTTGAAGCAGCATGAGATTTTATTTTTCCCCAGGAATAATACAAGAATAACATTTTTCCACCTCAGAGCAGAAACAGTAGGGGAGCCTTTTGCTATCACAGAGCTCCTTATTAAATTCAGTCACTGTGAAAAGACAGATTGTAACCCCCTCCTTATTCTTGTTCCTTAAAAAAAAAATAAGGAAGACTTAAAAACCAACCCAAGTTAAAATTAACAAATCAATGACATTATAGCCTTATATTTATTAATGGTTGAGCCAATAAATTATCACCAGACAAGAAATTGTCAGCTGGAAAATAGCGTGGCTTTGCTAAATCTCAAGCTGAATAATGGCGCTCGGTACACTAGGTTTTTAGATGTGCCTCATCTGATATTATAAAATATTCAATATATTTCTCTACAACGGAAGTCAGGGGTCAGCAAATCTATTACTGTAATGTAAGAAATTTGGCAACTTGCCAATTCTCCCTTTTATTATTTTTTTTTTAAACACCGAGGCAGATAATTTTATATTGACAAAGTCTGCAATCCTCTGAGGCCTTGCCTCTCTTTCTCAACAAAAAAGCAGCAGTCTGATATTAGAGAAATACGTATTACACGTGTCTCATCATTTACACTTCATACAAAAGAAAATGCCTTCGTATTTATTAATACCCCCCCTTCCCTGTCAGAAGAGGGAAAATGATATGGTGTCTCATCCTAATGAGTGGCCACTAATGTCTCCTGAATCAATGTGTATTTGTATGGAAGGAGTGAACTTTTGGGCCAAAACATTTAACAAACGGCACTTAAGAGGAGAAACAAGAATCCATCTATTTATAGAGAACTCCAAAAAGGATATTATAATACTGTCCGGAACTGATTCAATTCAGAGAACCAGGGAAGCGAGTCTGGAGTCTTTAAAGTTGAGTTTGAATCTCAAGCCTACCTCAACTAGTTCACAGGCATACTCACAACATTTAAC